TTCACCACGTTATGTTCAGACCTTCGACTTCTTATCCAATATATCCTTATAACAGGTCCTTTAATTGGATATTTTACCCGGTATAGATTGCAAAACTTTTTTCTATTAGCCCCCCCCGCCTCAAAAGGCCCCCCATATTCATGGGTCCAGTAGATTTCGAGTAAATTGTGACAGACGGACAGACAGGACTATAAGGGTTCCGTTTTTCATTCGATACGGAACCCTAAATACATACATTAAATAAGCTATCAATTTGTTGAGAAATTTAAAGAAAAAAATCACCGTGCAATTTATTATCACACAAAAATTATACATATTGCACATACATATAACAGAAGATTTTGGGACGTGGTGTACAATAGGTACACTTATGGTGAAGACATACTTTATGCATGGACATTGTTCTGTTGCGGATGAATTAAATGGAGGAAAAAAAAGAACGGTCCGTTCAAGCCTGGAAGACAATGTGCGGAAGTTAATAAGCACGGCGTGTATTCAAAACAGGCTGCGGGTTCGGAGACTTAAGAGGAAGAAGCTACGGGCACGGTTATCATGATTGTATCTCGTTTGTGTCTAATAAAAATGCATACCAGCAAACATACAGGGTGTTTGAAATTTATTAGGCATATGCATGCTAATCATTGCTTATGTATTCCTCTGAAAGGGTTATTATTTAATGGTTTATTCAAAGCAGATATTATTTTGAATGTACGCATGTGAACCGATTACTAATAATGTTTTTCTCAACAGCTGTTTAAAGTGGAATTCTGAATCTGTTATTTTGCATTGTGGAAATTAATAGACATCATTTGATCTTATTATTCCTTTGCAATTAAAATTTTTGTTTATTATAAGCTTAAAAAGGTTTTAAATTACAATTTAAGTACAATCAATGTATAAAAAAGAAATTTACATTTTTGAATATGGTCAAAATTACATAAAAGGCAGATTAGGGTTATCTGACGTGATTAATTTGTAATATGTAATAGTTATGTTTAAATTACAAATGTAAAAACAAGAGTACTTATTTCTATGATTTGTGTTTAGATTAGGGATGATATTTAGGATCCGATCGGGTACCGGACAATGACGTCGAATACCCACTCGGCAGTGTCGGGTAATTCTACCACAAAAAAAACCCAAATCACGATTTTTTTGATTTTTCTATCTAATCTAATTTTGGCTAGTTTTTAAGTTTTTATTGATAAATTTCCTATTTTCTAACAATTCCAACTATTTATAGTGTACGGACTCATTTATTCATATATTAGCTTGGCTGGGTTGACGACAATTTTTGTTGTTTCCATCGGTGTTCTGTTGTACTACATAGATCAATAATTGATAACAAAATATAAACCTCGAAGGACCAGTGTATGCCGATTAAAAAGATTCGTACTGTATAATACGTTTAATAATCCCATACATACGTACACACCAATCAACTAAAACTAAATATTATTTGCTACTCAAAAAGATGCTTGTTGCTTATTTGATGGTGTGAGTTGATCTTATGTTATTGATAATCTAAAAGTGTTTTTGTGTCTTAAAACCAAACACACCTCGGCCACTACCCTCAAATTTCCTCCGGTCAACACCTACCCCAACAGTCCGTATGCAGGTATAGGTACACTCAGAAAAATGCTGTAGGAAAAATTACTATAACGTTGTAGAGGTCGTTTTGTAGAAAATGCGACTCAAGTTTGTAGTAAGGTTAACTAACGGTAAACTTAAATTTGACTATAAAATTGTAGTGGTAAATTGTAGGAGAAATATCGACAGGGGCTCAGGCAAATTTCGTACAATTTGAATGAAATGTTTACGACAACAACTTTGTGAATTTCATTATAAATTGTAGAAAGGTTAAACAAATTTTGTAGAAAATATAAGGAAAACATTAGCAATTTTTATCAAATATTTATTGCGTTTCAGTTTTTTGTTCTGACTCAGTGCAAACATATCTGGAACCGTAGTAGGGTGTGATCTCGTATGTAATATTTACTAATATTGTGCAATAAGTTTCTTCGCTTGTATGGTGTTACTACGCGTTAGTGTTAGTTAAGTGGCTTCTACTGATCTGTTCGTTCTTGTTAAGTACGGTAAGTTTATTAATTGCAGTAAAATTAATAATTGAACCTTTCAATTGCACCTAGCGAGGCGAGACATTTGACAAAGGAAAAATTACAAAAAAAAGTTATCAATTTTACAGGATAATAGAAACATATCCGTCTTTTTAACGTTCATCTGAAATCTATTTTTATAACAGCCTGCTGCTCATTATTATGGATGCTTTTACAAGAGGAAAATTGTCTGAGTGGGGTTTTCAAGATTTAGCTGATGAATGAATTCGATAGAAGTCATTTACTTGAAACAGAATGGGTAGAAGTATTTATTATTTATTTTCAGAAAAGGACGTCTACTTTGTAATAAGCTTTCAAGTTTTTGTTCCTTGTTATAAGTTAAGTTATTATGTTTTATGCTTTTTTTAATACATGATTTAAATAACTAATTGTTTTATTTGTACACTTTTCTACATATTCATTATAGCTTCTGGTGAGATTAAATTGATTAAAAATAAAATCAATAATTGTAGTGATTAATACATCATTACAACCCAAAGGTAGACTACACAATTCTAGAAATACCCACTACAATATATTTGCAAATGTACTGCAATGCAATGGTAAACTCAACTACTTTTTGTAAAGATGCGTAACATTATATTGTATAATTCATTCTTAATTGCTGTAGAGAAATATTCTACAATTTTGTATAATTTTTTTCTAATTATTGTATTGAAATATCCTACAATGAAAAGTAATTTTTAAGAGAAACTTGTAGTACATATTCTTTAACGTTGTGGTAGAGAGACAAACAGTTTGTAGACAATAGAGTAATTACAATATTATATTAATTTTCACTACAACTTGTTTCTGTCCCTATATTCGCTACTACTTGTAATGAAAAGTTCTACAATTGTAGAAATTTGTTCTACAGTTTTCTCTGAGTGTATGTACTACACAATAGTCGTATCGAAAATTTAGGGAAAACCCTAATTATTTGTAGTTGCGAAGGTATTTACGATGGTACCCTTCTTGGTATCAAGGGGTTAGTACCGCAGGTAGGAAGATAAAATTATAACAGTAGGAAACGAACTTGAGTATTATGAATGTTCAACATTATTTAATTTTTCTTTAATTTTTTTTTTGTACTAAATAGTTTTTAAACGCTACGTTTTTGTAAAAAGCAGCTAAATTCCTTTTTAATTATTATAACAAACGATAAATATTATCATAAAATGTTTCTAGGTTATACTTGTTTTATGAACCCTGTCAGCCATTGTATCATGGAGTCAGTTATTTATGGTGAGGACCCAAAATGGCGGACAATTATACTCATTATATTTAATGAGTCTTACTTCTATTTTAAATATATCGTAAGAAGCATTTTTCATGTATCTGGATATACAAAGTCTAATAAACACTAGACTTAAGAGGAAGAAGCTACGGGCACGGTTATCATGATTGTATCTCGTTTGTGTCTAATAAAAATGCATACCAGCAAACATACAGGGTGTTTGAAATTTATTAGGCATATGCATGCTAATCATTGCTTATGTATTCCTCTGAAAGGGTTATTATTTAATGGTTTATTCAAAGCAGATATTATTTTGAATGTACGCATGTGAACCGATTACTAATAATGTTTTTCTCAACAGCTGTTTAAAGTGGAATTCTGAATCTGTTATTTTGCATTGTGGAAATTAATAGACATCATTTGATCTTATTATTCCTTTGCAATTAAAATTTTTGTTTATTATAAGCTTAAAAAGGTTTTAAATTACAATTTAAGTACAATCAATGTATAAAAAAGAAATTTACATTTTTGAATATGGTCAAAATTACATAAAAGGCAGATTAGGGTTATCTGACGTGATTAATTTGTAATATGTAATAGTTATGTTTAAATTACAAATGTAAAAACAAGAGTACTTATTTCTATGATTTGTGTTTAGATTAGGGATGATATTTAGGATCCGATCGGGTACCGGACAATGACGTCGAATACCCACTCGGCAGTGTCGGGTAATTCTACCACAAAAAAAACCCAAATCACGATTTTTTTGATTTTTCTATCTAATCTAATTTTGGCTAGTTTTTAAGTTTTTATTGATAAATTTCCTATTTTCTAACAATTCCAACTATTTATAGTGTACGGACTCATTTATTCATATATTAGCTTGGCTGGGTTGANAATTTTGTATAATTTTTTTCTAATTATTGTATTGAAATATCCTACAATGAAAAGTAATTTTTAAGAGAAACTTGTAGTACATATTCTTTAACGTTGTGGTAGAGAGACAAACAGTTTGTAGACAATAGAGTAATTACAATATTATATTAATTTTCACTACAACTTGTTTCTGTCCCTATATTCGCTACTACTTGTAATGAAAAGTTCTACAATTGTAGAAATTTGTTCTACAGTTTTCTCTGAGTGTATGTACTACACAATAGTCGTATCGAAAATTTAGGGAAAACCCTAATTATTTGTAGTTGCGAAGGTATTTACGATGGTACCCTTCTTGGTATCAAGGGGTTAGTACCGCAGGTAGGAAGATAAAATTATAACAGTAGGAAACGAACTTGAGTATTATGAATGTTCAACATTATTTAATTTTTCTTTAATTTTTTTTTTGTACTAAATAGTTTTTAAACGCTACGTTTTTGTAAAAAGCAGCTAAATTCCTTTTTAATTATTATAACAAACGATAAATATTATCATAAAATGTTTCTAGGTTATACTTGTTTTATGAACCCTGTCAGCCATTGTATCATGGAGTCAGTTATTTATGGTGAGGACCCAAAATGGCGGACAATTATACTCATTATATTTAATGAGTCTTACTTCTATTTTAAATATATCGTAAGAAGCATTTTTCATGTATCTGGATATACAAAGTCTAATAAACACTTTTAATAAATAGATTAAATAAAACTTACCTGAGAATAAATGTCGATGTCTTTGTACGGATTGACTGCCACCAAAATGGTTCCTGTATATGTCTAAAGAAACTATTAAGGAAATATAACACTTTCATATAAAAGAACAGACAAAAATGCATGTATAATGTCAACGTCTTCTTAAGAAAATACTAACGACTTCCGCAGATAAAGAATTTTCATGATCACATTAAACAAAAAAAGCAGACGTTGTGTCGGTTACATAAAAACCAGCTGTAAAATAATAAACTATTTCATTTAGGCACCTATGTACCTATTTATTACTGTAATGTGTAATGCGTTAATGAATTACCTTAAGTTAATATTTAACAACTCAAATAAAAGACAAAATTTAATTTTTTTTTTAGTTTACTGAATCGTATGTTTTTTTGAAATGGTTTAATCACTTGTAGAAAAATCTAATGTTCTATAGTTTTAGCGACTATTTAAGCACGATCAAATCTGGTGAACACATGCTGTATTTAAACATCTTAATTACCAAATCGTCGGTCATGGACCGGAAGGCTAAACACAATTAATGCTAAAAATACATACTTAGATGTATTTTGAAGTCTATAATTAAAAAAGAGAAGAAAAATCACGTATGCCTTTTTATGCGCCAATAAAAACCTTTCTCTACATTATATGAAACGCTTTGACATTTATTAATGGTTAATATAAAAATTCATTTTCAATTTTTTACCCACTATAAACTACCTAAGGTTAATGAGAGAAAATTCTTTTGCTGTTGTTACACCCGCGCCGGGAATCGAACTCGGGACCGTTGGCTTTATGCACCAACGCTCTGACCACTAAACTACGAGAGATGACAACAGCAACATCTCGGGTTCGATTCCCGGCGAGGGTGTGACAATAGCTACAATTTTTTTTTCATTAACCTGAGGTAGTTTTTAATGGGTAAAAAATTAAAAATGTATTTTTACATTAATATAAAAACCTTCCTAAAAAATAGATATAATTTATTTATATTCTTTACCTTAAAAAAATTTGAAAATTGAAGAACTTTGTTACTGTTTTGGCACTCATTTTCCTAATAATTCGAAGCTAAAGAATGAACTTCTATTTTGAAAATTAATCCGAAAGTGCAGGTACATATCATTAATTTATTATTGAACTTCCTTCCTTTTACAAACGGAAAACATTCAGATGGAACCGGCATAGAATATAAATAAATAAAAACATGGGACGTGGTTATAAATCATTTTTAGCAACTTCCTTATAGTTTTGTGAACTTTTCGACAACATAATTTGCATATTAAATAGTAAATGTAAGCGGTACCTGTATGCAAAATGAAATTCGGGTAACCATAACCATTTCATGCATTACTTATTACTATTTCAGTAAACTAAGGAAACAATATATAAACTAATATACAAATCAAACGGTAATGTTTTTGTATATGTATATATAGATACAGAACGGAAATTATAACGCTATACATAAATACCTTAGTAAGGCCGTCATCTAACATTTGAAATCAGTTTTTTATTCGTTTATTAAACGACGATTTATCGAGACCACCTATGATGTGCTGATGAGATCAAATAAGATTAAAATCGCGATCCACAGGATTAATTCAGATTAGCATAACTACATAATGGCGAAACCAATCGTTGGGCTACTTTGAAAGCGAGTTAGGAATCACATTTCAAATTAAATGGTGTTGTAGTTTAATTGCATTGCAAATTCGTTATCAGACCTGTTTAACATTTAATGCAGCTTTATTACTTACGTATAATTACTAATTACTCTTTATACTAACAATATAACGAAAGGCATTACTGATATCTTATCACTGTAATGATGAATAAATATTCAAGAAAATAATTGTCAGTCGTATATGTTTTATGAAAATACTGGATATGTATTATGCATGCGATTCATTACAGTTTGAAATGTAATAAGTAGCAATTCAAATTTGCAGACTGCAATGTTAATTTTGTTCTTGTTATGACGACACAGCGTGCACTGTAAATTTATCTCGTTCGAGTATCTACTATTTAAATAAAGGGGTCATGTATCGATTATATCCAGTACGATACTGGTCACTTCTTTATATAAAGATACGGTCATGAAGTACCTATCCCTGATTATTTCTAGATATTTCCCGTTCGCTGTATGATTTATGTCGTGCGACTGCCGGCAATCAGGTACATAAAAAGTGCCGTCTATATCGATCGCCTGCGGCATTTGTTCACAACCGTGTGTACAGTACAAGTAAAGAAATTATTAACAACACAAACCAACAAGATGGAGATTGATAAGGTAAAAGCAAAAGTGTAGTCAATACTAAAGCTTAAAATTAAAATTATGTTAATTTGGATTATTCGATTTTGAGATGAGGATAAAGGATAATTTCAACGTGCACAGACAATTCTGAAGCCAAGTTCGAATTCGCCTTCGAGAAATAAATTGAAAATCATTGATAAAAGAATGAGAAAAAGTGTAATATTGTCTTCGATATACCTTTTGTTCGACAGCGAACTTGAGTTTGGACTGCATACTACAGTAAAATCGAGATATTCTAATCTTAACGCTAAACAAGTCAAAGAAGCATTATTCATATTTTTAGATTAAACTATTTTGAAATTCTGGCACACTCAAGTAATTCTGAAACCAAATTACGTTTGAAATAACATCTCTGATTTTATAATTTACTGATCTACGATGACTAGGTGTAACCGAAGATATTGAGAGACATTTTTTCCTGTCCCCCTTGAAGAGACTATGTTGGACTTCTCCCCTTCTTTTGACACCACGTAATTATGGACATCTCCCATTGAATGAGCAACCTCCCATGTACCTGTGGAATACAGCGATGTACCTTTCCAAGAACCCTACCGAGAGGCTTGGTCTTGAGGTTTACATCTCAAAATCATAGCCTAGCATTGGTGTGGGAACGTTCCATTCGGAGTACGTCTGCCATGGTTCAATTTTTTTTGTACCAAATGTTGCAGCAGTTTGTTTCCCCCTAACGCCCACAGACCCATACCCACAATATAAAAAATGAGGCCGAAGAGGGACTTCCGACCTAATACGTGTAAGTTTCTTTACCAGTTTTTTTTTTTTTTTTTTGATATTGAGAAGTGTTGACAAAACAAATAAAAAAAAGTAAAATTAAAAATACTGGTTTGCAAGGGAGGAAAAAGTAGGGAGAGAGCGAATATAAAGATAGGGGACAAAAAATTACAAGAAGTGGCTGATTTTAGGTAACTAGAAAGTCAGATAAATAAGGACGGAAGGAGTAGTAGGGATATATAGCAGAGGATAGCGCAGGGTCGAGTCGCCTTCAATAAAAAGAAGTCTCTTGTATGCTCGCGAAGGGTTAATTTAGAAATTCGTAAAAGATTGTTAAAGGTGTATGTCTGCAGCGCGGCGCTGTACGGGTGCGAAACATGGACGGTGGGCGCGGCGGAAAAGAAAAGGTTAGAAGCGTTCGAAATGTCGTGTTACAGGCGAAAGGTGAGGATACAGTGGATAGAGAAGGTTAGAAATGAAGGGGTATTAGAAAGAATAGGAGAACAGAGGAAGAAATACGTGAGATAGGTTGGTAGGACACGTTCTCAGGCATGAAGGTCTAGTCAGACATGTATTAGAGGCAGAAACAGGAATCAGGAGGAGTATAGGTAGACCTAGATTAGATTACTGTTCAGAAAAAGTTAACGATGTAGGATGTTCTAGTTTTAGGGAAATGCGAAGTATAGGAAAGAGTAGAGGTGCGTGTCCAACCAGTCTTAGGACTGATGACCTTATGATGATGATTGCATTACGAAATAAATACAGATAATTGTAACCGCCATTCTTATTGTCAATAAATGGGAATGGGGAAGTGCCCCTACGACTTATGTTTCAATAGCCACAGGGTACAATAATACGCAAAATCATTCTTGTCTGCTCGTAAATTGGTTATTGTTATAGTATTAACTGGTGTAATTCCATCTGTTTCATGAAACTTTAGAGCGATGAGGAAATCCGCGGGCAAAATCATACCATACGGGTTTACAATAACAATATTAGTTTGAACAGTTCAAAGACCAAGTGGTTCTTAGCGTAAAACAACAATACATACATACACTAAACTGGGACGGCAAAGTATCTCACGTTTGTTATAACAGTTGTTTCAACGATATTATCGCTTTAGAAGAAGAGTTACGACATGATTTCGAACGCTATAATTTTTTTTATTGTCGTCTGTTTTATTATTAATCAATTAAATAATTAAATGAAATGAGTGACGCTAAATTGTGCTCCGTGGTCCGTTGCGCAGTAAGGCAGTGCGCATAGGATTTGAGGTGAAGAGATTTTGTTTGACAGCTGATATTACACCGAAATGTATGCGCAGTCGTACATTGCGCAAAGAACCGTGCATTTTCCATTCTTAATCAGTAACGCTTTTTAGACTCATTCGTTTTGAGTCAAGTTATTGCTCTTCTAGAGCTTTAAATTCACTTCGTACAATGGGGCCGCAACACAACGCCCTTGTGAAAACTCTTGCGTTTATACGCGCGCGTTAAAACGCCTACCATCGGCTTCGTGTGAAACGGCACTTAAAATTAGCGCATTACAGCAAGGCCTTCTAACAAGATGAGAGATGACTCAATCTCAATCTCAATCTTCACTGACGCTTACTCGCGGTTTCGCAAAACGTTTCACTTCAAAAATTAAACGGACAGTAGAAAATAATTAAAAACTGTTTCTATTGTTGTTGCTTATTAAGTACTTCCTGTTTTGAGTAGTTTTAAATGAATTTTGGTTTCCATTCGTCTATCACCTATAGTCCTATGGTGTATTCGGGTTAATCTTCAAGTAAATAAAGTTTCTTTATGTAAATGCATAAGTACTTATCGGTTGTGTTAATGACAGAAAATATGTCACAATTTAGATGCAGGTTATTTGATAATATTCCACTTAAAATTCTTTCCCTATGAGTAAATGATTTTACTTATTTACCTACCTATAAACTACCAAAATTCAATGTAAATATACTAATTGAGTAATTAATTACAAGAATTTACCTTCAATTACATAAGTACTTTATTAC